GGTTTTACATGAGTTGCGGTTCATAATCCTGGTTGCGGTCAATGAACACACTTTTTGGGCCACAGTCCACCGATTGGGCTCGCCAACGGTGTTTAGGGTTGTGGTCCACCGTTGGGCTCGCCAACGGTTTGATGAGCTGCAGTTCATCGGTTGGCTGCGGTCAACCCCTTCATGCTGCGGTATGAGGCAGGGTGCTGCGGGGCCGTGTTAGCGCTATATGCGCTGACCCTCATGTATGGGCATGCGATTGGTCCTGTGGCGCCACCAAAGTGTGCTTATGTGATAATGATATTGATTGAAAGATGACATGAATGATGTGAAACTAACCTGTGGCCTTAGGATATATGATAATGTCTTTATATGCTTGATTATAACTGTTGAATGTGCTTATCCCTATCTGTCGAGTCTATTCCTGGTTTTAAAGTTAGAGTCTCCTAAGTATATATATATATATATATATATATATATATATATATATATATATATATATATATATATATATATATATATATATATATCTTCCTGCTTCAAAATGATTTTCCTATATCTATATATACATATACCTATATTGTATTTTAACGCGTTGGAGTGGGTTACCAGCATCATTCGCTGAACAGATATATTTGGCTTTCAGGCACAGATGATTAGCTACTGGAGCGCAATAGAGGACCTCGGCTTAGATAGATTAGTCTTTCCTTTCGGCCTGCGTGCCTTGATGATGTAATGACATTGTTGGAGGATAACTAGTTAGTGTAGCCTGTGCATCTGAATTCTCCAGCTCAGATGTGGCATAACACCCCAGACCCTTATATTTAGAATGCTCTGTTTGGGATTGATTAATAGAATTGCTTTCATATTATAAGATTGAAAAGTTTAAAAATTTTTGAGGTGTTACAGAAACAAACCCTATGTTTATTTCAAGTCCAACTGAAGTACATTTTCTTAGTAATATAAAACAAATGAAGGTGTTCACACTTAATTGAGAAAAATGCTTGAATAGCAAAATAATTTTATTGAAACCGAATGTATATACAAATTAAAAAGTGGACGAAAGTCCCATTTCCTGAATCAGATCCTTGAATTTAAATGGAGGCATGCCTTTAGTCAAGGGATCTGCTAACATCAGCTCAGTATGAATGCGTTCAATGAATACAACTTTATTTTTGACACGCTCCCTAATTGCTAAGAACTTGATGTCAATGTGCTTACTTCGACTCCCACTTTTGTCATTCTTACATAGGAAGACTGCAGCTGAGTTGTCACAATAGACTTTCAATGGCTTAGATATAGAGTCCATAATTCTAAGCCCAGAGATAAAAATTTTTAGCCACACACCTTGTGAAGTAGCCTCCAAATAGGAAACGAACTTGGCGTCCATGGTAGAAGTAGATATTAAGGACTGTGTAACACTTCTCCATGAGATAGCCCCACCGGCCATGATAAAGACGCACCCTGAAGTTGACTTTCGAGAATCAACACAACCAGCGAAGTCCGCATCAGAATAACCGACAACATGTAAATTGTCCGTCTGCCTAAACCCAAGCTTGTAACCTTTGGTTCCATTTAGATACCTTAGAACCCTCTTTACAACCCTCCAATGGTCTAACCCTGGATTGTGCTGGTAACGTTCAAGTATTCTGACCTCAAAAGCAATATCCGGCCTTGTACAGACTTGAATATATCCAAGACATCCAACTGCTGCAGCATAAGGGATGTTCTCCATGGATTCTTTCTCCAAATCATATTTTGGACATTGGTCCAAATTGAATTTGTCCCCCTTAGCTATGGGAGCAACGTTTGGTGGACAATTTTGCATCTGAAACTTCTCTAAAACTTCGTTTATATAGGTTTCTTAAAATAAACCTAGTACACCTCCTGACCTATCTCTATGAATTTTAATGCCAATAACATAAGTGGCATCACCCATATCATTCATATCAAAGTCCTTAGAAAGAAACTATTTCATCCAGTTATAAAACAAGAAAACAAGAAAACAAATTTTACTCCCACTCATCACCTTCTGGTATATACAGTTATCTAAGGGATTTTTAACAAAACCAAATGAAGAAATAACCCCGTCAAACTTAATATACCATTGACAGGATGCTTATTTTAAACCGTATATGAATTTCTTAAGATTACAGACCAAATTCTCACCACCCCTAAAAGATAAACCTTCAGGTTGTTTCATATAAATATCATCTTCTAGATCACCATTAAGGAAAGCAGTTTTAACATCCATTTGTTGCAACTCAATATTAAAATGTACAACTAATGCCAGAATGATCTGAAGTGAATCTTTCTTTGATACAGGAGAAAAAGTCTCCTTGTAATCAATTCCTTCCTTTTGAGTAAATCCCTTGGCAACAAGTCGGGCCTTGTATCTCTCAATGTTGCCTAATGAGTTTCTTTTAGTCTTAAAAACCCATTTACAGGCAATGGCCTTGACCCCATTGGGCAACTCAACAAGATCCCAAACCCCATTGTCCTTCATGGAATTCATTTCATCCTTCATGGCTTCGAACCATAAGTCGGACTGAGCACAATTTGTGGCTTGAGAGAATGTTTCAGGATCACTTTTGGCCCCTATGCTATGTCAGATTCAGATTCTTGTAGACACGAAACATAATAACTAGGAACTGTTGATCGTCTTATCCGAGTAGACCGTTTTAAGGTTGGACCTCCACCGCCTTGCACAGGCTGCGGCGAAACTACCTCTTCAAGAACTGGTGGCAGTTCTTGAATTGGCTCAGTCTGCATCGGCTCAGAATCTTGCTGTATATCCTGAATTGGTTCAACCATTGGTTCGAATTCTAGTTCAGGCGGTTGTTGTAAGTCCTGAACTGGTTCTTCCAAAGGCTGAGTCTCAACGGTTTGTGGAGTCTCAACAGTAGGTGGTATATTTGCAGGCAGAACTAAAGGAGCATTGTGGATAAGTGCAACCTCATTAGATGACGTAGAACTGTAGAAGGTTGTCAGTCAGTATGATCAAAGGAAGGAACTAAGTCCTTAAATCGAGTCATCTTCAAAAAATTTAGCATTCCTTGATTCCACTATCCTAGTAGTATGAGATGGACAATAGAACCTATAACCCTTAGAATATTGTGCATATCCAATAAAGAAAGCACTAATCGTCCTTGGGTCAAGTTTGTTCTCGTGTGGGTTATATATCCTCACCTCAGACGAACATCCCCAAACACGCATATGTTGCAAACTCGGTTTCCAACCATTGAATAACTCAAACGGTGTCTTAGGGACAACCTTGGTCGGAGCATGGTTTAATATATACGTTGCCGTCTTAAGTGCTTCATCCCACAAACATGTTAGCAAAAATCGCGCCTAGGCGCTGGACGACGACCTAGAAATTTGGAAGAATCGTCGTTCTAGGCGCCCATCTAAGCGCCCTAGGCGCCAACTAGGCCGCCGTGGACTAGGCGCCCAAAAAATTCTTTTAAATTATATATATATATATATATATATATATATATATATATACACACACACATATATATATATATATATGGGCGCCTAGGCGCCCGAGGAACGCCTAGCTATTTTTGTAATCTTTCCCGCAACGACTTCGGAAGCTTAGAGTTGCTAAGCATACTCCGCACCATATCCAAAAGGGTCCAGTTTCTCCTTTCAGCTACACCATTTCGGTCCGAAGAACCAGGCATAGTGTATTGGGCAACAATCCCATGCTCGTGAAAAAACTTAACAAAGGGACCAGGTGCTTGTTCATTCTCAGTATATCTACCATAGTATTCACCACCCCTATCACATCTAACTATCTGTATTTTCTTGTTACATTGGTTCTCAACTTCAGCTTTAAATAACTTAAAGGCATCAAATGCTTCATGTTTATGATGAAGTAAATACACATAGGAAAATTTTGAGAAGTCATCATTGAAGGTGATGAAATATTTCTGACCGGGTATTGTTATATCAAAGACAACATATGTCAGTATGAATAATTTCCAACAACGTTGAACTTCTAATGTCACCCTTCTTTGACTTGTTTGTCTGCTTACCCTCATATGAGAAGTGAGAAAATTAGTGACCTTATATAACCATTGGCCACCATTGTAGTTGTATATCTTTAGGTCTCTTAAACCCTAACTAACTCCTAATTATAATGATAGTCTAATTATTAAGTTATTAGTGTTACACCATATATCAAATACTTAATATTATCATAACTTATCCTAATCTTATAATAATGATATAATAGAAAAAGGTTAAATTAAAAAATTATGATAAATTATGCCGTCCATCTCAAAATAATTTACACATGAAACTTATATTTAAATAAATACTGCGACGATATTTTTGCAAATATACTAAATTTTTATTGCAACATTTAAGTAAAAAACAATATCATTTTCAAATATCAACACCTGTTTAAAGAAAATCGGTTAAAATACGTAGTAGTTTAATTATTTTGGAAAACAACATTATTTTGATCCAAATACGCTATAAAGGCACCAAGTGATTTGTGGTCCACTGGTATACGGTTGCTCTCTTATGTGGAAGGTTTAAAAGTTTGAGTCCAAAAAAAATACGCTATAAAGACACATGATTATCTTTTCTTTTTTTTTTTATCAACATTATTTTAGACTAAATATATTTTTTTTTGTTGCCGACGTAAGAATTTTTGGATACCCAAATTGGATGGAAAGACTTTTTCCCATTAAAAAAAAATTAGGTTTTCAGTCTTTTTTAGGGGGACTTTTCAAGTTTCAATTCTGGTGGTGAATTCCAGCCGGTGTTTGAAGCTAACAAACATGTAGGGTGAAAGAGACTTGCATTGACAGTTCTAATGGTCACAAGAGTGAAATTTAGGAACAATGTAAGATAAAAGAGATTGTAATATAAAAGAAGGATTTAATGTCCAGGCTTCATTCCAATTTATTTTGAGATAATTCAGAAAGTAAAAAAATAAATAAAAAAAATAACATCCTAAATAATTCATAAAGTAAAAAATACTATGCAACCCAATCAAACTTTGTTTAAGTTGTTAATTTTATAATCCCAAACTTTGAAGTTCCACTTTTATTGAGAGTCACATATTGATCAACTATGAACGATTTAAACAGCTTGTACGAAAATCACACTTTTTAATTAAATGATGAAGTTACTTTGGTGGGAAGATGCATAGAGTGGAATTCATGGTACTAAAACCTCCATCAATGACCAGGTTATGCCCGTTCACATACTTCGACTCGTCGGAGGCCAAGTACAGCGCCGCCTCCGCCACATCTTCCGCCTTCAGCACCGCCCCTTTGAGGTTGTTGTAAAGCTTCTTGAGATCCTCATCGGTTGTCAACCCCAAAGCCTTCATCCCCACCGGGTTGCACACGATGAACGGAGAAACGCAGTTGACTCGAATCCCGCACCGTCCCAGCTCCACCGCCGTGTTTTTCGTCAGCCCCAGCACCGCGTGCTTGGCGCTGGTGTACGAGTGCGGCGTGGTCCCCGCCGTGGTGGACGCCACGCTGCCGAGGTTGACGATGGAGCCGGCGCCGTTCGGGATCATCGCGCGCGCCGCGTGCTTTGTGCCGAGGAAAGTGCCCACCACGTTCACGCCCATCACCTGTTAGATATCAATATAGTCTAACGTTAATACCGAGTTCGATTCTCACAAGTGACGACCCTTTGGGCCAGTCTCTGTGCCTCTCGGAGCGAATCGAGTGGATCTGGACCGTTAAATGAACAGAGAAAGATTGGGACCACAATGTGTGGTTGACACAAAAAAAATAATCTAACGTTAATGAATACAGTGAATACAAAGCCAATATTTTACCAAACAGGGCCAATATATATTAGATACGCTAACTATTTTACAAAACAGAACCAATATATATTATACGAGAAAATCCAACCTGCTCGAACTCGGACTTGTCGTTCTGGAGGATGCTGGGCTTCGTCACTCCCAGCGCCGTCGCTGCGTTCACCATGATATCAAGCTTCCCGAACTTGGCCACGGTGGCGTCCACCGCACTTTCGACGTCGGATTCCTCCACGATGTTGCAGTGGAAGTAAACGGCGGCGGCCGGGTCCAAATCCTGGCAAAGTTTTTCGCCCAGCTTGTCATCGGTGTCCGTAAACGCGACCTTAGCTCCATGTTTCAAGAAGAGCTTTATAATTGGCTCGCCAATTATATTAGTGCCGCCCGTTACAAGGGCAACCTTTCCTTCAAGTCTAAACAAGCAAATAACACATTAATAACCAATCAACTAGGATCGCACTAGGGTGGGCGTTTCTGGCTTGGGTTCAATTTTTTTTTTTCGATCTTTCGATTTTAAAAAATTTAAAATCATTCGATTTAACATTAGAGTTTGGTTCGATTTAAACAGATCGATTTCGATTTGAATTTAATTCGATTCGGTTTAAGATCTCCAAATTCGATTCGATTCGATTTAAGATCCCCAATCAAAATTTCAAGCTTAAGACTTGAAAATGTTTCTTTTGATTGAATAAGAAGAGATCTGTGTTATTTTATTCACACTCCATAATAAGAACATCGAAATTAAATATTGTGTTTGACTAAAATCACACTCTTCTAACTATTAGAAAAGTAGTGATGTTTGATCACTTAGAAAACTTCAAGAAGAAGAAAAAAAAAAAAAAAAAAAAAACCACTCAGTCACCCACTTTTAACCAGTCATCCAAAGTGATTAGTAACATTTTTCGCCAACAAAATTACTCAAAAAAGATTGACCGATTAGATAAACAATGGCAATGGCTGCTAGCATATTTGTATTTTTGTATGAACAAATTAACTATTAACTATACGGAGTATATATTATATGATGAAAGGAAAATGGGGAGGGGGGCAAAGTATGAAATAAATTTACATACCTTCTATCTGCAGAAGTTGAGGCCATTGAGAGATTTAGGTTGGTTGATAATAAGATGATATCAAAATGTAGTTGCACCATTGCCATTTAAGTACTAATCCACTGCTGCTGATTAACAATTTTTTATGCCTTAACGTGTAGCTCAAGGGATTTATAAAAAAAAATTAAAAAAAATTTTTAAAAAAAAAAAAGTCAGAACGAATAAAAACAATAGTTTTCTTAATCTGGGTCGGACGAGGATATATATTACTTATCAAAAACTCATTATGATATCATAAAAAATTATGAGTTATGTTTAATAGTTCAAATTGGATTATTATTCATTTTTGAAGGCATTATTATTATTATTATTATTATTATTATTATTATTATTATTATTATTATTATTAAGTGTAAAATAATAGAGTACATCATATATATATATATATATATATATATATATATATATATATATATATATATACACGTATGTATGTATGTATGTATAGGTTCCAGATCAGGTGAGGACGTGAGGACTAATCCAGATCATCTATTGAATGCACAATAAATTGAGCATGAATGCACAATAAATTGAGCATAAATGCACAATAAACTGAGCATGAATGCACAATAAATTGAGCATGAATGCACAACAAATTGAGTACGGGAAATTAAATCCATTGCGTAGAATTAAATCACATCCATTGACTTATTTAAATGAAAAGGATCAGATAAGTCCTCATGCCCTCAGCTAAGGATAAGTCCTCATTTGATCCTTAATATATATATATATATATATATATATATATATATATATATATATATATATATATATATATATATATATATATATATATATATATATATATGCGAGTTCAGGTGCGACGATCCCTTCCCGTACGGTCATGCGGCGATTTTCAGAATACACCAATAGGTAAGCAAAATATATACCATCGACGTTAGGAAATGTACTACAAAAACACACACAAATTAGGTACGCATCAACAACAACAACACACCATTAGGTATGACTAAAAGCACCACACAGTATTCGGAAATACACCATTAGTGGTAGGGAGGTATATGATGTATCTTTTTTTTTTTTTTTTTTGTGTTTTGTGTATTTTTTGGTGTATTTTTGCATATCATTGTTGTGTGTTTCTCTTACACTTTTGGTGCATATTATTAACACTATTGGTGTATTCTGAAAACCGCCGCACGATCGCATGGGAGGGTGTCGCCGCATTTGAACTTTTATATATATATATATATATATATATATATATATATATATATATATATATATATATGCGCCACTGTTCACCCATTCCCATGAGTCCGCGTGGACAATCCACATCGGCTAGGATTTTACAGCATTTTAAAAAAAAATTCCTTTTCAATTGTATTGCCAAGAGTTGTTTCGTAATTACAATGTGCAACTAAAATAGGTAAAATATTATTTAATGGTGTTTTCCATATTTTTTGGGATATTTTATGAATTCACTGTAAAATTTTATACACACAAAATGCATGTGCATAGTTGGTTATACACACAAAATGCATGTGCATAGTTGGTTATGTTACATAGCACAATAGTTTAAAAATATACTCATCACCCAACAATTTTAATAATCAAATTGCATATGCATAGATGATTAGGATATATTGCATAGTGAAGAGGTTTTCATATACCACCCGCCATTTATTTTGTGGACGAAAATGCATATGCATAGTTCTATAGAAAATATTGCACAGTATACAAGTGATAAACTATCCCCTCCAATTTTGACCTTACAGTCCAATTTGCACATAGGTTTTCGATACATGACATAGTATAGATGGAAGAATCAAACCAAAGGCAATTTTAAGTCAAAAATTGTATATGCACAGTTCCTAAGGGTACATTGCACATATTACAAGCAATTATAAATCACACTGAATTTTAAACTCCAAGTAAAAGTTGCACAGATGTTTGCGTTGCAATGCACAGAATATAAAAAGTATTCTTTCCCCTTCTAAATTTACCAACAAAATAAGATATGCCCAGTTGTTTATGTTTAATTACACAGTAGTAAAGGAACACTCTAATCCCGGCCTATCTAAGGAATAAATTTCTAAATTAAACCCAATTAATACGGACGACATTAAAACTTAATAACCCTAAAATATCCCTAACTTAATTTCTCTCCCCCAAATCCACACTCAAAATTAGGTAATAAAAAAAAAAACAAATCTTATTTATAGACCATTAATTGATCACTAGTTTTTAATGAATCAGATCTGTCCACACACGGACTCATGGAAAGGGTGAACTCATATGATCATGAGTCTATATACATATAGTCACACTTGTGTGAAACCGTCTCATGGATCCTTAGCTTATTCCTAAGACGGGTCGGGACAATATGCAAATGTAATATTTATACTAGCAAATGTAATACTAAATAAAAAAATGAAATATTTTTACTTAAAACATAATACTTTTGATGACAAATGTAACACTTTTATATTTTGATATAAAAGTATTACATTTCTCATCAAAAGTATTTCATTTTCTTTATAAGTGTAATACTTTTGATGAATATAAGGGAAAGTATTACATTTTCGATCTCATATAAATAATAAATATTTTATTCATGATTTAGTATTACATTTGCTAGTATAAGTATTACATTTTATCTTGACCCGACCCGTCGCACGGACAAAGATCTGCGAGACGGTCTCACACAAGTTTTTTGCCATATATATATATATATATATATATATATATATATATATATATATATATATATATATATATATATATATATATATATATATATATATATATATATATATATATATATACTGTCGCACTTGTGTGAGACGATCCATGACACATGTCAAATTTAGGATGGTTCGTTGCTTGTTACTTATAACAGAAATCATAATACTTATTACAAAAATTTAATATCAATTTAAAATAAATAAGTTGTTACTTATAATAGATATTGTAATATTTGTATATATATGATGAAATTGTGATATTATTTAAGGTAAAATGATTAGTACTAATGGTAAATATTGTAATACTTATAATTGAAATTGTGATACAACTGTAATCCTAATGTAAATATTGTAATATTTACATGTGAAATGTTACTATTGAAACACTACTGAAAATTTCGTTGTTTCTATCCAACAAAAGTTGGACGGAAAACGACATATTTTGGTCAGAAAAGAGGTTTTTGACCAACATACCTATTAGGACTCTTATATTTGTAGTCTGTTAGGAGTCTCTGTCTATCTTTCTATATCATTATTGTACATACTTTGTTTACGGTTATGTTCAATAATACAATCCTCATCTGGTATCAGTATCCAGGTCTGTTCCATGGCAACCTTGGGAGACGATAATGACGGTTCTATTCGTGATTCTTCTGAACGGACTGTGTCCGAGGTTGCTCCCACATCTATTTACCCGAACCCTAGCCTTTCTTCGGCTCACCATTTTGTATCGATTAAACTTACTGCCCATAATTATCTTTTTTTGGCGGACTCAAATGCTTCCGTTCTTGGAGGGCCAGGGATTACTTGGCTTCGTCGATGGTTCCTTGTCATGTCCGACGGCGGTTGCGCCGGTAGAGTCCATGGCGGAGAGCGGCGGCGTCGTGGCTACTGGTTCGTCCGTGTCTGCTTCCGATCAGTGACGTCGCTAGGACAAGGCTATTTTATCTCTCTTGATTTCGTCGCTGTCTGATGAGATGATGCACATGGCAGTTGGCCAGTCGACGTCACGGGCCTTGTGGCTGGCTGTGGAGCAGGAACTGGGGTCGGCGACGAGGTCTCGGGCGCTCCGGCTTCTTGGCGAGTTACAAGCGTTGTCGTAGGGCAGCTCGTCCGTTTCTAATTACCTCGGCCGTGCAAGGATGCTCGTGGAGGATTTGGCTATGGTCGGTCGTCCGATTACCCTCAACGATCAGAATATTTATGTTTTTCGTAGATTGCGGTCGGAGCTTCGTCCTCTCGTTGCTCCACTGACACGCGATTCTTCGGTGACATTGACTGAGCTTTCGGATTATTTGACCTCTCAGGAGTGGATTTGTGCGGCTGGTGGTGGTGACTCTGGTTCGCCGGCGGCAATGGCGGTTCACCGCGGTCGTGGCAGTCGCACGGGCAATGGGCAGTCGCATGGTGGCTCGGGCAGTGGTGGTTCGGGCAGTGGTGGCTCGGGCAGTGGCAGCTCGGGCGGTGGTGGCTCGGGTCGTGGTGGCTCGGGCGGTGGTGGTCATGGTCGAGGTGGACGTGGCCATGGTCGTGGTCGGCCTGATGTTTGTTGTCAGATTTGTGATAAACAGGAGCATTCTGCTTTGAATTGCTACCGCAGGTATTCTGAGTCGCCTGGTCCACAGGTGCATATGGCCTATTCCGGGGACGTGGGTAGTCCTATTGATTCTCATCAGTGGTTCCCTGACACGGGTGCCACTAATCACGCCACTCCTGACTCCTCGGTGCTCACTTCCACTGCTGGCTATGACAGTTCTGACACTCTACGGGTTGGCAATGGTGCAGGTATGCCTATACTTAGTGTTGGTTCTGCTTTGATAGCCTTTTCTGCTAAATTGTTCAAATTAAATGATGTCTTGCATGTCCCTGGCTTGTCGTCTTCTTTGCTTTCTGTTCATCGTTTTGCTAGGGATAATCGTGTCTTTTTTGAGTTTCATTCTGCGTATTTTCTTGTGAAGGATCTCTTGACCAAGGAGGTGCTTTTAAGGGGGGAACTTCGGGCGGTTTGTATACTTGGCCTGCTTTGTGTCGTAATCCGTCTGCTCATGTTGCTGCGCGTATGTCGTCGTCTACTTAGCACACAGGCGGCTTGGTCATCTACACACACGAGTTTTGCGTCAAATATTACAGTTGTCTGGTGTTAGTCAATTTAATTCTAGTGAATTGTCTAATGTCTGTTCTTCGTGTCAGTTAGGGAAATCTTCCCGTTTTCCATTACCTCGTATTACTACTTCTAGTACTCGTGTGTTAGAACTTATTTACACTGATATTTGGGGCCTTGTGCCAATACACTCTGTGAATGGTTTTCGTTACTTTGTTTTATTTGTGGACGATTATACACGTTTTGTATGATTTTATC